CAGGACAGGGGTAATGTTGGGATAAAATCTTTATCGTTTTGGAAGCCATTAAGAACAAAAATGCTCTTCTTGTTTTATCCTGTTCATTTTGTGTTTAAATGCCAAAAAAAAAAACATAAAAACATATTTAGGTGTAATTTTGGGGTACCAGGAACCAATTAATTGGTTTTCCATTATTTCTTATGGGAAAAATTCGATTAGAACTCGAACTTTTTAGGATTCGATCCGGAGTCCGTATTTATTTTTATTTTAATATTCAGAGAGAGCAGGCCTGGTGGCATTATTGCCTATACACTTTTTCTTTGAAGTGATTTTATTTTTGTTCTAATGGCACTACTGATTTTACAGTACTCAGTTTCCGGGCAAATAAACAGTTGTTTGTGTTTCAAATAAGAGTGAAATCTTTGTCATTGGGTACTGCACAGTCAGACCTTAATACCATTCCTTAACATTGGTTTAATTTCATCTTGGTGAACATAATGACTTTCAGAAATCAAAGGGAAATTTTAAACATTATACTTTGCACTTTTAATTTTAGTCGACTAAATCAACTGTAGTTTTAGTTGAATGTAATCTTATGATATTTAGTTGACTAAAACAATACAAAAACTAAAATAATTTAGATTACTAAATTATGACTGAAACTAAATTACATTTTAGTCAAAAGACATTGACTAAAACTAAATAAAAATTTGCTGTCAAAATTAACACTGGTAGCTATAATTGAATGTGTAAATGTGGAATTGGGTGGGGATTAATGTACAGTAATGTTTGCTTTCTGATTTCAGGATATTTCATCCCAGTTACAGTTGCTTCCTTGGGAATATGTGCGTGCTTTATTGCCAAAATATTTCTACACTCATTCAGGCATTTCTGTAAGTATTTGGTATTGACCTGCAATAATGCAATAATTCTGCACAAACAGTAAAAATGATCAGAATTCAGTGTAACTCATTATATTCCCCTCAGTCTGGTGCTTATCTGCTTGTCTATATATTACTGGCTTTCAGTGGAGATTTATAATATCGTATTAGTCATATGATTTTATCATTTTAGCTTCTCAAGTGTTTCCTTGAACATTTAGTTCTTCTTTTAGGATGCTATCTAAGTAAATGTAGCATAATCGGATAATTTCTCTCGTAATCACTGTGCTAATTTCTATTGTACACAGCGACACAAACAGCCGGCTTTTCATCCGGTTTTTATACTGAGTATCTGCTTGACATTTTGACTGGTCCACATTTAAAAGACTGACTGTTTGAGGTACACTGGTGACACAATGTGCGTTTGTGTGTGTGTGTGCGCACCTCCTAATGGTTAAACACCTTCCCATCACTTTTGGGCTTCATATGATAGACTCTCACTGTTAATATTGAACATTGATGTATGTAAAATTTACTGAGAGAAACTCCTGTACATCAGTAATAAACTGATGTAAAAATAGATGAACATTTAAATGTATGAACTGAGTGCTTCTGCTTTATGTGTGAGAAACGGTTAGGGTACAGGAGCACTGCTCTGTGTGTGAGGAAGCGTTGGGGTACAGGAGCTCTGCTCTGTGTGTGAGGAAGGGTTAGGGTACAGGAGCTCTGCTCTGTGTGTGAGGAAGGGTTAGGGTACATGAGCTCTGCTCTGTGTGTGAGGAAGCGTTAGGGTAGATGAGCTCTGCTCTGTGTGTGAGGAAGGGTTAGGGTACATGAGCTCTGCTCTGTGTGTGAGGAAGCGTTAGGGTACATGAGCTCTGCTCTGTGTGTGAGGAAGCGTTAGGGTACATGAGCTCTGCTCTGTGTGTGAGGAAGCGTTAGGGTACAGGAGCACTGCTCTGTGTGTGAGGAAGGGTTAGGGTACAGGAGCTCTGCTCTGTGTGTGAGGAAGCGTTAGGGTACATGAGCTCTGCTCTGTGTGTGAGGAAGGGTTAGGGTACATGAGCACTGCTCTGTGTGTGAGAAGGGTTAGGGTACATGAGCACTGCTCTGTGTGTGAGAAGGGTTAGGGTACATGAGCTTCACCCTCTTGGTTTAAAAGGAGTGAAAATCCCCACACCTACAGGTAAGGTACAATTGGCAGATATATGAGGGTTCAGCCCCAAGTAATAGTACAATTTGGTACCCTTTGTTCTGAGAGTGCATCTTGACCTAATTGAAATCATAAATTGTCTTTTAAAAGATGTGATATCACTATTTTTGGTCTCTGCTGGTGACGATATGAAGAATTTCTGATTTGCTTAGTGATATCTGACCGAAATATCATGTCATATGTCACAATGAATAATAAAATATCACAATTCATTACTGATGAACGAGCATCGAATTAGTATGTAACTAAGACTTAGTTGGCCCTGCTGCTTATTAGGGCCTTAGTATTAATATACTGATATTTCCATTGTTTTCCAACCTCCTCTGAGATCCTGACTCAAGGATGTTTTAACAAAAAATGAAGAGAGGGAAAATATTTAATAAAGGCCTGTTTTATGTTATTTATGTGTATTTAATCTGTTGTCTTTACATTATGATGTTTTTTAGATCTGGCTCAGAAAATACTTTTGGGGATTTTATTCTCACTGCACCTAATTTTAAGTTTCCTGTATATAAGTCTGATTTTAGAAAATGACACAGGTAAGGAAAACCAGTAACACATTGTTTAAGGTCTACAGTTAATAAACTGTTACTATTCATTTGATGATGTGTTAGTAAATAAAAAGATTCACTTATAATCAAATTTATAAATGTATTACATCTCCCATAGCGACACGCTACGAGCTGCTCACCCCCTACTGTGTGTTTTTGTTGATTTTTAGCGTCTTTATACGTGTAGCTTGACGTTTTATTGTCTATGACCTCCACACTCTGCTGAACATTAAGCATAATGTCCCCACAAACCTTTCATTCCTGATTTTCCTGACAAAATTGTTCAAAACACTACGACCAGACCAAACAGCACCGACCATGGTCAGACCCAGTGGGGGAGGGGGCTGTGGGGCGGCGTGCTAACCAGGCTGTGACAGCGTTCATCCCGGCCTCCCTCCCCCACTGTCCTCCTGGCGAACCCCCAGCCTCTGGGAAACAAGCCGGACGACTTACACTGCAGTATCGGCTCTCAAAGGGACCTTCGGGACTGCAGTGACCTTCAGTGTTCTGCTTTACCGAGACCTGGCAGTAACCAAACACTGCACAGTGCTGTACAGCCCCGGGCTTCACTGTATACCACTCAGACAGCACCACAGACAGCACCGGCAAGACAAAGGGAGGCGCTTTGTGCTTCTTTATTAACAGCAACTGGTGCAACAATGCGGAAGTGTTTCCAAGCCCTGCTCATCAGTGTTGGAGATCTTGATGGTCAAGTGCCGCCATTCTACCTGCCCAGAGAGTTTTCCTCAGTGCTGCTCAGAGTCCTGCACAGGTCCACTTTTGGAGACCCGCACCTGCACAGTACAGCACCACACCAGCCCGTGCACCCGTGATTATTTCAAAGTTAAATCCGCACCCGCCCGGGCCCGTTAACATTCCACCCGTTACCCGCCCGTACCTGTGATAAATTACATTTGGAAATGAGAGCCAGCATCCCAAAGCGATCTCTGTCATTGCTGGGGACTTCAGCTGCTGCAATTTAAAGAAAATCCTCCCGAAATGACACCAATATGTCACCTGCCCCATCAGGGCCAACTGGACCCTCAATCTCTGCTTCATCCCATTCAAGGGGACCTACAAGCCCATCATACATCTGCACTTTGGCAAGTCTGAGCACTCATCAGTGTTTCTGTAAGCAGGAACTGAAACCTGTCCAATCGGCATCGAGGGCAGTAGAGTGCTGGAAGTGGACACCCCCACATGAATCTGGACATCAGTACAGCACAATTACATTACAATACATATAACTATGGAGAGCTAAGGCTGGTATCAGTCCAACCTGCTGTGTTGGTCACTGGTACCTCAGCGCTACAATATATTATCAAAAGGGGAACACAAAAGTAACAGGACTGTTATCATCTCATGGAAACAGAGATCAAGCTCCAATAGTCCCAACCCCTCAGCACTCAGATTAGACGAGACTGAGGCCCAATCCCAGTGTCCACGGTCTCGGACTCTGAGGTGCGTTCCCTTTAAGTCCTTAAGGTCTTAGGGCTGTCCCACTGTCAAATCCTCAAGTGCATGAGGGCTCTCGCACAGACATTTTGAGCCCTTTATGCACACTTTCAGAAAGTTTGCATCTCTGCAGACTTTGTCTAAGGGAATTACCCACAGTTCATAGCATTTTGACGCGAAATACGGGAAAACCAGGGGAAGCCTGGAAATGTAAAGGGTAAACAAACTATCCCTTTTAGTTTTTAATTTTCTGTTTTTACAAAAAAGAGTACATTGATTATTTGACAATTTCCTCTGGTCATCCCCCTAAGGCAAGAGCCTGGAACACGTTCACAGTAGGCTGTTGGTCCCTTAAATATCTTGGCTGTGAAGAAAGTGCAAATCTTATAATACAAAGTCCCAAACCCACAAGGAGGTGAGGTGGAGTGATGAGTCATTGTTGACACATCAAAGTACAAAACAATGAAACATATCCTCTGCATTTAACCCATACGTGACATAGCAGGGGGCAGCCAATTCAGCACCAAAGGAGCAGTATCTTATTTAGGGATGTTTGGGGATTCAAACCAGCAATCTTTCAATTGAAAGTGCACTTCCCTCACCATTGGGCTACCATTGGGTAGGGTAAGGAACATGTTTTGGCAGCGTAAAGGTAATGTGATATGTCACAACATACTGTCGCATTCCTATTTATACCATTTCGAGACCTTGCAGCCTCTCACACTTAGTCACTTACCAGATGACCTCAGTTAAGTCTGCGAGGGTTCAGGGCTGAGGCCTAAGGGAGGACATTTAGATTGGGCCTGTGTTTCCACTCGCGTCACTTTTTAAGATGAACCAGAGAAACTCCAACACAAAACAAGTGAAACAAATGGATGAGCTTTTATAAACACAATGCAAACTAAGTCACACTTAAGTCAGCAATAAACATTTAACTAAAAGTCATCAATATGAAGCCATGTTATGGTGAATTATTGTAAATTAAACATTAAATGGCTGAGTGAATCGATAGTGAGCGGTGAGTTCAGGAGAGGACAGCTTTACCCCAGGCCTACTTGTGCATCATGCCTGGCAGCCGTCACATCACAGACATCTTCAGCCTGTCCCCGTCTCTGTGCACTGTGCCCCTGTGCTTTAAGGAGAACACAGTCGTGTCTGTGCCGAAGAAAACTACTGTTTCCTGCTTAAACAGCTACCATCCCATCGCCTTAACCTCCACAGTCCCTGGAAAGTCTGGTCACGTCCTACATCAACCTCAACATGCCCTCAGTACTGGACCCACTGCAGTTTACATTCCACTATTAGCTACTAATAAAGTTTTATGAATCATTTCATAAATCAGTAAACAAAAAGATTGTCACGTAAAGTGCTGCAGGTGAGCAAAGAAGCAGGCAAGCTGAGCCAGGAAATCCAATAACCGGGGTTTATTGGTCTCAGACGGGCAAACAAAGACACGAACAGGCATTACTTCGAACAACATCAATGATAGAACTGGGGAAACTAACCGAGACGTGGACTAAATACACAAGACAAGCTGAGGGTAACGAGCAACAGGTGAGAACAATCAAGCAGAAACAGGAGGTAATGAGGTGGGCGTGGCACACACGAGGATCAGACGGAGCTGGACGTGACAAAGATGCACTTAAAATTAAATTTAGAAATATATTACAAAGATATATCTTATTCCTTTCTTACAAAATATTTACTGAAGAGCTTGTACAAGCTCAATTATAACTCAGTTCAGAGTTACTGCTTACTAACCCATTGTTTTATATTTGCAAGTGATTTACAAGCTGTTTTATAAATACCAGGAGCAGGGTATGATTGTAATGCATTTATAAATTTGTTTCTGAATGAATCTTTCTATCTGTTAATATACGTACTAACTAATGATTAGTAACAGTTTATTAATGGTTAAGGAACAGAAAATAAAAAATGTTCTTTAAAGTCATACTTTTATTCAAGTTGTATAAAGCACATCTGATTCAAATGATGTCATGGTTTTGTTATGAATTTTGTTCTCTTTATGCTTGTCCATGTATTTGAGGACAGGGGTAATGCTATCTCTTTATGCTAGAGGAACAGCAGCTTGTTCACATCATTAATAACCTCTATTAATAACCCCACAGAACGACCTGTAAAGATCTGCAAGTTTATGTTCATCTACATTCTGATTGTCACAAACACTGATGACTGGTATCGGAAGATGTATCTTGGTACAAACCAATTTTTTAATGTTTTTTGTGAAGCTTAAACCTTCAGATCTGTTGCTGTCAGAAATGCTCTTGTCAAATTGAGGATTTTTAATTTCTTATTTTGTATTTGATAAATCAGTTGCACTTAGAAAATAAAATGATGAAATTGAATAAACTGAGCATTTAAATATTTAAGTAATGAATAACCAATTTATATACACATGTCTGTTTGAATGTATACGTGTAGCTGTGTGTCTAATGCTTTTCTCTCTACCTTTCAGCCAAACCCCGTAAATATGTATATTTCTCAGGGGCTCTTGGTCTCCCTCTCCTGAATTCTGCTGCCCTGGCTGTAGCATTAAAGCTCAAAGCAGGTAAATACACTAAAACTTTGAGATGATTCTCCTGCATATTTAGTGTTACTATGTAAACTTAAGAGTGCAGCTGAATTATGTATATATGCATTCCTGTAGTTTATTATCTGTCACTAGGGTGACATTCATTCGGATTTCATCCAGACTGTGCGGTTTTCCAGCCCCTCGTCTACACTGCTGTTGGGTGTCCTCCTTTGCGCCCCCATCCTCCTTTTAGCTGCTTATTCTCCTTTTAGCTCCCTTGTCCCCCTTTTAGCCCCCTTATCCTCCTTTGCACCCCCTTGTCCTCCTTTTAGCCGCTT